GCCAGACCCGTGTGGGTCCTCGGGGTGCCCAGAGACTGAGGCCACCCAGGGACCTGGCAGAAGACGGGAGCCCTGGGGAGGTCACTGCCTCAGCGCCTGCAAGAGACCCCTGACCCGCATCCTCTCCCTGGTGGGCCTTAGGGGGCCCCTTGGTCTCTGAACCTCGGTTTCCCACCTGGGCCCTGCAGAGCAGAACTCTCAAGGGGACGGAGGCTGTGGTGCAAGAGAGACCCTGGAGCATGGGCCACCCCCGGACCAGGGCCAGTCAGGCTGCCGCCCGGCCCCAGCCCCACCTCCTCACCAACCCACCCCTCCCCCTGGGCCTGCCAGGAAGGTGGCGAGCTTGCTGCTGCCCAGGCCCTGCCCGTCTCCCGGGTGGTGCACACCAGGACCCTCCCCACCGGGAACTGCCATGCAGGGGGGACTCCGGGCGCCCGGGCACCTGTGCAGGGGTCCCCAGGGTGATCCCAGATTGGTCACCTGGACCATCTTCCAGGACACGACAGGGACCAGCTTGTCCAGGAGCTGACAGGAGGCCACAGGAGAACGGGCAGACCTGGACCGCGGTGGGAGTGGGGTGACCTGGAGTGGCCCTGCGTCTCTGGCCTCGCTCAGTTTCCTCATCTGCAGACTATGACCGAGTCCCCGCTGCCAGGAGTGTGGCCGTGACGGGGGCAGCAGCACCCTCACACCGCGGGCTGCACAGAGCCTGGGAATCCTCACCCACCTGTGCCCTGAGGCAGCAGGCACCCGCCCAGCCTCCTGCCCGGCCTCCCACCCGACCTGCCGCCCGGCCTGCCACCCAGCCTCCCACGGCCCAGCTAATCCTCTTGTCCCCGAGAAGCAAAATTATCATCACTTTTAATTGAAAAAAGAGGCCGATAGGATTCTGAGCCGCGGCAGGAGAGTAATTAGCACAGCCCCAGGCCTGAGGGGGCTCATTAATCTGTCACTCAGGAGACGGGATCGTGAAGCTCAGCTGCGCTGCTGAGCTCAGAAGTGGGCACCAGTGCCTCCAGCAGGGCCACATTCTCCCTTCCCCAGGCGGAGCCCTCCCAGGGTGACATGGGCTGGGTGGCCCTCTGCTCAGGATGGACAGGTCCAGGCTCTGCTCCAAGCTCGTCCCCCTCGCTCTCCCTGGCCGCCTCCCATCCCACCTGCCGGTCCCGCTCTGGGTGAAGGCGTGCTGGGTGACCCTGAGGGTCCGGGTGCCCCAGTGAAGGTCAGGGAAAGAGCCCCCTACGGGCCGTGTGTCAGTCACAGGAGTGGGTGCGGCTTCGCCAGGAGAGGCTGCCGTCCGGGACAGGCAGCAGGTGTGGGTGGCCGCTGTGAGGATGGAGTGCTAGCCACTGTCCCCACAAAGGCCTCCAGCACTGTCCACCCTCCCAGTCCCCTCAACGTGACCTACAGGGCCAGTCTGGCTGAGGCTGAGGGGCTGGGGCCCAGGCACTGAGCATTCCTGGTGGAGGACAGGGTCAGGTGGCCTGGTGTCCACTCTAGCCAGAGCCAGTCTGCCGCTGTGTGGCTTCAGGCAGGCCAACACCCTCTCTGAGCCACTCTTCCCATCTGTGAAGCGAACGTGCTGGTCAAGGTACCCCCAAAAGTCCTTGTTCCCGTGCTCCCGGCGGAACTGCTGGACAGCTCATCTCAGGGAATTCCTTCCCGTCTCTGGACTCAAAGCAGTGCCTCAGAGCTTGGGGCTCACTGTGGTGGGCACCACTGTGTCCTGCCAGCCCACACTGCCCCCCGGGCGCCAGCCGGCAGCCCTAGGCCAAGCCACTCCTGGGGCTCAGAGCCGCCTGGTCTGGCTCTAGGCACCGCGGCTGGCTGGGGCGCTGGGGCCACGGGTCCCTGTCCCGTCCTGTAAGCCCAGCGCATGCGGGTGCCCAGGAGGCTGAGGGAGGAGCCATTGGACTGGGGCTGAGGGTCAGGACGGGCTGACCCTCCAGGTGCCCCGAGGCAGAGCAGGACTGCAGGCCGGGAGAGGCAGGCCCGTGTCCAGGAGGGCTTCTGGGGGCCGAGCTGCCTGAGGCTGTGGGCTGGGTCAGGAGGACCTGGCGCTCCCTGGAGGGCTGGTAGGCTCAGGGCGCGAGGCGGCTGGCCAGGAGCAATGTCCAGCCCTGAATACTGCCTCTGTGGCACAAAGGGACAGGTAGAGGGCTGCCGGCTCCTGCCCAGGGCCCCGTGCCAAGCCCCAGCCCACTGGTGGCCGCAGGCCTCGTCCTCCAACAGGAACCCGGCCCCACAGCCGCCGGAGGGGGCGGGACAGACGGCTTCCCGCCGGGCACTCGGCCGGGCACTCACCGCTTCCCCAGAGCAATTAAGATAAATGCAGCGATAGCGCAGGGTGCCGAGCCTGCCCTCCAGGCCACACAGGTAACTGTACCTGCAGACTTACCTGCGTGCTCAGGTGACCGCTGAGGAAAAGCGGGAGCTCGGAGGAAAGGAGGGGGAATATTGTGAATAATGGCAGCCTGCCCGGCCACGGCCCAGGACGCAGGCTGGCCGGGGTGTCGCTCTCATGGCTCCACTCCCCAGGTGGCCCGGCCCTCGGGGACGGGGACAGAGGGAGACACCCAGGGCGGGGCCAAGGTCAAGCACCCCGCACCAGGCCCGTGGGCATGGCTGAGAGCATGGTGGGTGGCAGTGTGGTAGGGGCATCTGGCCTCGACCAGCATGTCCATCAGAGAGTGACCATCGGCTGAAGGGCTACGCCCAGCCAGAGGTCAGTGCAGGGCAGGCTGAGGAGGCCAGGTTTGGGGTTCAGTGTCCAGGGTAGGCCAGCAGAGGCAGAGCAAGGGACCAGCCTTCAGAGTGGACGGGTTGGGCCCCTGGACGGAGCCAGCTCTCCCACGCACTCTGGGAGCACGGCCCAGAGAGGACCTGTCCACGAGGGTCCTTCTGGGCTGTGCTGTGCTTCTCCACCTCAGGTCCCCAGCTGCAGGGCCCGTCGCCACGACGCGGCTTCTCGCCGCCTCCTTCGTATCCACGTGGGTCTGGGGACGGCAAGGGAGTGGCCAGGGCCAGGCCTGCTGTCGGGGTAGACGGCAGCTGCCCGCCAGCAGCTCCCACTGTGGTCTTGAAGTTCCTCAGGCAGCAGGGCCCCTGCGCCGCACCAGAGCCCCTCGCCCAGGGCCCAGGCCCCTGCCCCAGGACTTCTGCTCCTCTCTGCCCCGTCCAACCCCCTCCCCCGTCCTGTCTCAGCTTCCCTCAGGACTCCCACTGCCCCTCCCGCAAGGCCCGCCTCTTGACCTGGACAAGTGACCCACGCCCTGGCCTCCGGTCCCTCTGTCAGTCTGAGGATAGTGCCGACCTCATGGGGCGGGGGATCGGGCGCAGGAAGCCCATGCATGGACAGGGCCTGGTGGTGGGCCAGGGGTGTCCACACGGCCGTCATGACACTTGCAGTGTCTCTGACACAGAGACGTGGACACTGCGTCATGGACATGGACATTTCCCCATTTTTCTAACATGGCCCTGACTCTGCGGTTCCCCGCCCACCTGAGCCTCCCTCTCTGCACCTGGCTATGACTGACCCTTCGGAACACCAGACCAGCCAAGGCCACAGTGAGGGTACACCAGGGCCCCAGGGCTGGTCAGGCAGGGCCGGAGGAGATGGCCTCAGGTACCCCCTTGGATGACCATCTTCGGGGCCTGGGCTCTTGCTGGGGCTGCCAGTGTGGAGTGGCTTGGTGAGCTCTTCCAGCTGCACCCCACGAGGGCCCACCTCAGTCCATCTCCGCAGGCCCTGGGGGCCGTCTGTGGAGCCCAAGGCACCCGGGGATCTTCCGGGAGCCGCCAGGGCCTCTGTGCAGGGGGCTCTGGAGCTAGGCCCCAGGTGGGAGGCAGGGCCAGGAGCAGCCCAGGGTCGGGGGCCAGCTCTGCAGGTCAGGAAGGCCACGGGCAGGGCGGGGGCAAGTCAGAAGAGGCAGGTGGGCCAGAGGAGGGAGAGAAGGCAGGTGCCAGGGCCTGCGCCCGTGGCACCCCTCCTGGGGCACCGGCCCCCGTGGCCGCGCGGAGCCAGCCAGCCTGAGAACCCCGGTCTTGAGTTACCTGGGTGCCCACCCGGCCAGTCCAGGAGGAACCGGTCACTGCCCCCACTCCTCCAGGGCTCCCTGGGCCAGCCTGGGACCTGGGATCTGATCCCCCCTTCAAAGGGGCCCAGCCTTCTGATACCCACACCCACGCAGGGGGATTGCCAAGAGCCCAGGCGGGCGGGAACTCGAGACGAGGCCTGTGCTGCCCCTCACTGCCCCGGTCCTCAGGCTCTGCACGGGCTCTGGCAGCGGCCCGCTGGAGCCCTGGGTGCTGAAGGAAATGAGGGGCCACCGCTCAGGGCTGAGGATGGGCAGGGATGGAGGTGGGTACCCCCAGAACCTGGGACCAGTCGGGGTAGGAAGGACAAGGTGATGGAACCGCTGGCCTGGAGCCCCCTCCCAAGGCCCCGAGCCGGTGTGTGTCAAGCCCAGAGGGACACAGGGACAGTCCCTGCCCTGGTCCCCGCTAGGCCACCTGCTGGCTGGGTGACCTCCCCCAGGCCACGGGACCTCCCTCGTCTGTAGCTATTGCTGACTCTGTCCTTCTGGTCAGCGGGAGGCCACGAATTGGCCACAGACGGCCACGTGCCCAGTGCCCAGCACAGCATCTGGTGCAGATGTGAAGCGTGAGAGTGAACGGTGGACGTCTGCCCACCTCGGGAGAGGTCTGCTTGCTGGGGTGCTGGGCTGGCCACCTGGTGCGGAGCAGCCTGTGCGCTCAGTGACTCTCGGGGAGCAGTGGCCTACCACCCCTCATTGCCTGGTGGTCGTGGGTCAGGGAGGGCTGCGGCCCACAGGGTGCCAGCAGGTCTCAGAGGCTGCAGGCGGGGTGTCAGCAGGGGACGCGGCCCCGTATGAAGGCTCCCAGGGGCCGCAGAGCTGCTGGGGCTCCGTGCACTCAGACCTCTGTGGCCACACGGGACCACCCCCACACATACTCTCCCTGTGCGCCAGGAGAAAGCTGGAGGGGCGGCTGCAGCGGCCCTCATGGCCTGGCCTGCAAGGTCCTGTCGGTCAGCAGAGCACTGGGCCCAACCCAAACCCACAGTCAGGTGGGGGAACTGGGGTGCACCTCCCCAGGGACAGGGTCACACAGCACCTGGCCACATTTAAAGCCCTCGGGGGTCAATCTGACAGTCTCTCTCCCTCTACCCACTGCCCAGCTGAGGCCAGGCTGAGGAACCTGGACCCCCTGCAGCTGTGTGGGTGGCGGTGGGGAGGGCCGGCAGCAGCCCCTCCGTGGCCTGCCCTGGAATGGTGCAGATACTGAGGGCAGGAAGCTGCAGGCAGCGTGGGGCAGATGTGTCCAGGAAACGAGGGGACCGTCCACCCCATTGGCTGCCATTTTGCCTCTTCTCCTCAGAAGGAAACACAAGGTGCACCCTCGACTCCTGGCAGGACTGGGAGAGCGTCCACAGGGAGGGGGACGGAGCCTGCCCACACCCCTCTTGTAGTTGTGTGAATGATTGATCTGTGCCTAAGACAGAGCTGTGACAGACGGCAGGGTTCCACTGGCTGACCTGCCTGCTGGCCTCCTGGGGCCCGCCACCCCGTCTCCCGGGCAAGCTTCCTGCCTCTGGGTGGCTGCGGACAAGGGGGCCGTGCCCTCCTGGGCTCCCAGGGCTTGGGGCCAGAGCCTCGTCCGGCAGCAACTAACCCTCTTTCCTTTCTCTGCAGCCAGGAAAGCCCTGCTCCTCAGGAGGCTGTGTGTCGACCACACCAAGGAGCCCCAGCTCCCCAGGTACGTACAAGTGGCCAGCCGCCTGGACCCTGGCAGCTGCCCCTGTCCAGAGTCGCCCCTGTCCCGCAGGAACCCACACCTGGCCTCCATCTCCCCACACAGGACAGGGCAGCCGACCCAGAGCCCACCTCCCAGAGCCAGGCGTCCGGGGCTGGCCCAGGCCTGACACCGCAGCTCTGGGCTGGGGCAGGTGTGGCAGTGTTGTCCAGTGGTCCCTGCGTCCTGTAGCACCCAGACCCCAGGCCTCCGGGCCCCGACGGCCTTGCCAGAGACGAGGCCCGAGGGACTCAGTGCCTTCCAGCAGCCTCCTCAGCCCGCCCAAGGATCTCAGGCCCAAGAGCGGAGGAGGGTGTCACCCACAGACGCGGGCTCCCTGCAGCCTGGCCCTGGGCAGGAGTCTGGGAGCAGCAAGGTGGCCAGACCCACCAGGCTGGTCAGGGAGTCAAGCCAGATGGTGCTCAGCAGCTCGGCTCGGCTCTGCTGCCTGGCCACCTGTCACCCAACAGGCATCACTGAGGACAAGACGGGGAGAGGCCCTCCCCCACAATGGGATGGGCAGGGGCTTAGGGGTGGCCTGGGAGGAAGGGGCACCTCGCCGGGCAGCACATCCCCCTCTAGGCATTGGGGTGGAGTGTAGTGGTGCCCTCTGCTGGGAGCCACTGGTATAGCACCCAGGCAGAGACCTGGGACCCCCAGGCCCCAACTAAGGCAGGACACCCCAGGGGGGCACTCCAGGGCAGGGCTGCCTGTCCTTGGCTGGACGTGCAGGTTGGGGCCTGGTCCTTGAGCATCCCTGGGAGCCCCACATGTGGGGTGCAGCTGGGTCTCCCCAAGAGCAGAGTCGGCTCTGCCTGCTGGCTGTGTGGTGGTGGGCCAGCGTCCAGGCTCCTCTGCCCTGTTGCAGGCCTCCCATCAGTGACCGCCTCTGCCCTTCATCAGCCTGTCTTCTGGGCCGATGGCCTGCACCCACCATGCCACCCTGGGTCCCGGCCTGAGGTCACCTGAGGTCCGAGTGGCTCTTGGTGCCCAGGGGCTGGGAAACCGGCTGCATGGCTTGGCTGGTGGCTGGGAAGGGGGAGAATCCGTGATGTGGGGCAGGTAGCCCAGGGTCACCCTAGAAGGGAACCCTGGACAAGGTCCTTTGGGGCATCCAGATGAAGATGGAACTGCTGGGCAGAAGGGAGTGTGCTTAGGGAAGCAGGAGGGGATGCACCAGGCCCCAGGCCTCGCAGACCAGGAATGGCCCCAGGCCAGCAGGGAGGCCGTGCTGGGCTTCCCCCAGAGGCCTGAGCTGGGGTCCTGGGGGCCCCGAAAGGAGCCTGCACCTTCTTGAGGCTGGGGACTCCCCAGAGTGGGGGCTAGAGACCCTCCTAGGCCACCCGGAGGCAGGGATCTCCAGCCAAGGACTGAGATGTAGCGGCGGGTCCTCCACAGACCCCCACAAAAGTCAGGTGTGAGCCTCCCAGGGGTCCTGAGGCTGGGCTGCCCACAGAGGCCCTGAGCAGGAGCGAGCCTCCACCCCAACCGCCAGACTCGCCCCAACCCCACCTGCACGTGAGCCTCCCGCCACAGCCTACAGGTGCCTCGGGGGGCTGGAAGAGCCCAGGGGTCTTCTCAGACCCTCAGACCCCAGGCCCTTCCCCCTCCCATTTTGCCCCCTTTCTTCCTGCCCCTTCCCATCCCGTCTTGCCCAGCAGCCCCAGAGTCCCTGGCTCCATCTGCATGAGACCCTCTAGGGCCTCTCCAGGCCCTGAGCCGCCCAGCCCTTCCCTGAAAGCAGGACTTCTGCGATGGCCACACCGCAGGGCCTGCTTCTGGCCTGGCCCGGGCCTCCCGCCCCACCAGCCCCGTTCATTACTGCCCTTTCCTTGCAGGCTTCCCTCAGGACCATGAGAGCAGGCTCCCCCAGGGACCCCCCGGGGGTGAGGATGGCCACCCGGCCCACGCCCCGTGGCCCCCCTCGGACCACGGCATCCTCCTAGCGCCCGGGACGGCGGGGCCATGCCGGGGGAGCGGCCCCGAGGAGCGCCGCCCCCCACCATGACGGGAGACCTGCAGCCCGGCCTTGCCGTCGGTGGCCTGGGGCGTCCCCCGCAGCCCCTCATCACCCCGGGGAGCAGGACCACCCACGGCCCAAGCGAGGCAGGCGGCCGGGCCCAGGCCCAGGAGCTCCCCGAGGCCCGGCCCAGGCCAGCCAAGGAGGTGGAGCCCAAGGCCCTGCTCCTGAGGACCCAGGCCGCCCCCCGGCGGAGTCACCCCCAGGCTCACAGGTGGGTGGTGGGCAGGGCAGACGGCAGCCCCCCAGAGCTCTACTGTCTGAGCGTCACCAGCGCCAGGGCCAAGCCCACCCCAGATGAGACCCCTGAGGGCCCACAGCGCGAGGCCCCTCGGGGCCCAGAAGCAGAAGGCCCCGGGGACCCAGGGGCTGGAGCCCACCCCAGGCCCAGCCTCCCGAGGGCTGAGGCCCCCCCTGCCCCCCAAGAGCACAACTCCCCAAGGTGCTTCCAGGAGACCCCCTCCGGCTTTACCTCCACCGACTATACCTCACCAAAGGCCACCCCGGGGCCCCTGCCCCTGCGGGCCCCCCAGGGCAGCGGCCCCCGCCCTCAGGGGCCAGCCCCCCACCCCGAGCTCCCGGCCAGCGGGGCCGATGCCTGGCCCCGAGCTGCCGCAGACCACTTCCCAGGTGCTGACTTCAGCGTCCCTCCCCAGGAGCCAGAGCCTCTTCCTGGAGGCAGCAGGCCTGGCGGCCCCCAGGGGGGCTCCTTCCAGTTCCCCTTCCCATCCCAGACCCCGCCCGGGGCCGGCGCCAAGCCCTTCCCCACGGACACGGCCAGTCACCAGTGTGCTGACCGGGGGCTGCTGTTCGCCTTCCGCCAGCCCTCGGGCCCCTGGCAGGAGGCCGGCGTGGGCACGGCTGCCTACCCACTGCCTGCCCAGCCTGCCCTCTGCACTCTCCCCTGCTACCCCAGCCAGCCTGGTGGCCCCGATGACCCCAGAGACCCTGGGGGTGCCCGCCCCGTAACTGGTGCTACTCACCTGGCCCCCAGCCCCCTCCCCGACACTTTGCACAAGAGCCTGAGCAGAGTCCTTCCTGACGGAGCCCCCTTAGCCCGTGATGGGATGGCGAGCCCCAGGGCACTCCCGGACCCTCTGTCCCGGCGGCCCTTTCCAGGGCAGGCCCAGGGAGCCAATGGGGTGGGAGCCAGCCCAGAGCCTGTGGACAGTGAGCTGACCGCTCCAGGGCCTCCGCCCACAGGACTGCCCCACCTGTGGGACCCCACAGCGGCCCCTTACCCGACACGGGCCCTGGGCCTCGCAGACACCGCCAGGGCCACATTCCTTGAGGGCCACTCTGGCCCAGGCCAGGGGCTGTGCCTCCCGCAGAGCTCGCCTGTGCCCTGGCCCCAAGTGCTCCCACCCCCTGGGCCCAGCCCCCACCCAATGGAGATACTGAGCCAGCTGCCGTGCCCCCGGGGCACCCCCGAGTGGCAGGGGGACGGTCAGGCAGGCCTGAGTGCTGCCTGCCAAACAGCCAGGACCGGGGAGGCCCTGGCGGGGGTGAGAGGCAGCGCTGGACAGCCAGGCAGCTCCCCCGGGCTGCTCCCCTACCGCGGGCTAGGTGACCCTGGGCCCCAGCCCCTGCTTTTCGGGGGAGCCCAGGCCCAGGCATCACCCCGAGGGGCCTCTGGCCTGC